ATGTACACTGTTGGTGGGAATGTAAATTAGTACAGCCACTGTGGAGAACAGTATGGGAATACCTCAAAAAACTAAAAATAGAGTTATCATATGATCTAGCAATCCTACTGCTAGGTATACACCCAAAATAAAGAAAATCATTACATCAAAGAGATATCTGCATTCCCATGTTTACTGCAGCACTATTCACAATAGTCAAGATTTGGAAGCAACTGAAGAGCCCATCAATAGACTAATGGATAATGAAAATGTGGTACATATACACAGCAGAGTTCTATTCAGCCATGAAAAAGAATGAGATCCTGTCATTTGCAACAACATGCACGGAACTGGAGGACAATATGTTAAGTATTAATTAAAATAAGCCAGGCACAGAAAGACAAACTTCACATGTTCTCACCCATTTGTGAGAGCTAAAAATTAAAACAATTAAACTTACGGAGATAGACAGATGGTAGTAGAGGTGACTGGGAAGTGGGGATAGTTAATAAGTACAAAAATATAGTTAGATAGAATGAATAAGAGCATAACAGCTAGTATTTTTCAGCACAATAGGGTGACTACATTTAAGTGTACGATAAATTACTACACAGTAATTACTACATAGTAATTTGTTGTATAATTAAAAATAACTAAAAGCATATAATTGGAATGTTTGTAACAAAAAGAAATGATAAATACTTGAGGTGATGAATACCCCATTTACCCTGATGTGATTATTACCATAAAAATTAAAAATTAAAATTAAGAAGTGATCATTTTATATTTGCTTGTAGTATTTTCTGTTTTTTTTTTTGCAATACACATGTACTGCTTCTATAATAATAGTTTCTATGGAAAATTTGTGATTTTTCTGTGGTATCAATAGATCCATTCATAATGGTTCATCACAGAAAATTTGTTAGAAAAAAGACAGATACTGGCATGAGTGGAAGCTAAAGGGAAACTGGGGGTTTACATAAAAAGATCTCAACTTCAATTCTTTGACTCTTTATAATGCTTTGAATTTATCAAGATACATTTACTGCCTTTCATGTCATTTCACAGACAAAATGCTGTGCATTAAAAATGTTGTCTTGACTTTTTCTCACCAGAGGCATTACAGCTCTTCTCATTATTATTAGATAGCTCAGTATAAGATGTACTTTGCTAAATAAACTCAAAATGCATGAAGAATTCTAGATACCTCTGCATAATAATCAATCTGTTTCTTTTTCACCAGGAAGGGTCAAGCTTAATGGTTGTTAGGATCACCACTATATATGCAAATTGGATTCCTACAAAATAAGCAACCATTTTAGAATATACATATTCACACTCTAATTGCCTTAAAAGTGAGTCGAGGAACATAAAAATTACTTTCACTAACAGAGTACTCAATTTCAGTTGAATATACAACAAACCAAGTTCATATCATTTATTTCCAATTTCTTACATTATATTATTTGAGAACTGTTCACGTTTTAAATTTAAGACTGATCTTTCAAAAGTCCAACTTTTTAAAAAATGGAATATCACTTGGGATATTTAACAGTTACTTATTTAGGCCAGAGTCAATTAGATCTGGAGGTTAAAAATGTATGAGTTTGAAGCCTACCTCTGATTGGCTGCATAACCTTAGGCAAGTTATCTAGCCTAGCTAAATCTCAGTTTTGTTTTGTTTTTTCAATCTATAAAATGGAGAAAACACTGTTTACCTCAGAGTGTTGTGATAATTAGATATTATGCTGCCTGTTACATAGCAGGCATTCAATAAATATCCATGACAATGATGGTGATGACTCTCATAATCCTGACATGTGATTCCAGTCTGATATATCCCAAAAATATTGACGATGCTCCTTTACATCTCCACACAGATGTCTGATAGGTATCTCAGTTTTCACAGACATAGCAGGACTACTGCTCCCACTTCAGCCTGCTTCTCCCCTGGGGCCCCCATCTCTGTAGATGGCATTATCAGTAACCTAGGAGTCATTTTTCAGGACCTCAACCTAGCAGTCATTTCTATCCTTTTTCACACATGGCAGCAAATTCCTAGAGCTCTGTCTTCAATCTATTTTGATCCAACCACTTGCATAGGTCTATCACTACCACACCAGTCCAAGCCACCAGTCCACACCAGTCCACACCAGTCATCTTTAGCCTGGGCAACTGCAAAGACTCTTGCTATAGCTCCCTGTTTTCACTGGTGTCCTCCTGACTCCTTTAGTCTATTTCTCACTCTGCTGCCAGAGTGAATCTTTAAAATGTAACCCAGGTGATGTCACTTCCCTGCTCAAAAAACCCTTCAATGGCTCCCCATCACATATAGAACAAAATTCAAACCCCTTCCCTACCCAAAAGATGCTAAGTGATAGGACTTCTGCCAATCTCATCTCCTAGCACCTTCCTCCTCACTCGCTCAGCTGCAGCCATTCTGGCCTCCTTTGCTATTCCATGAGTATCTTCAGATGGGAAGACACACCTCTGCTTCTGTACCCTTAGATACGCCAGTCCTTTTGTGTGAGGCATTCCTTTCCCAGATAGCTGCAAGGTATTCCAACTCACTCCTCTGCTCAAGTATCAGGCTTTTACTGGACACTCCATCAAAAGCAACTCCATAGCTCTGTTTCATTTTTCTGTATGGCAGTGTCATAACTTATTTTATATGTGTGTGTATATACATGTACTTTTATGTATATAAATTCATTTATAGTTTGTCTCCCAATTCATACATAAAGTCAACAAACGTGAAGCCTTCGGTTTTATTCACTGCTGGATTCCCATTGTCAGGAATGGTGCTTAGTACCTTGTAGGTATTAAAGAAACACTTTTCGATACATGGGGAGTTTTTCTGGCATTAAAATTGGTTTGGATTGGCTGGGCCCGGTGGCTCACGACTGTAATCCCAGCACTTTGGGAGGCCAAGGCAGGTGGATCACGAGGTCAGGAGTTCGAGACCAGTCTGACCAACACGGTGAATCCCCATCTCTACTAAAAATACAAAAATTAGCCGGGTGTGGTGGTGAACACCTGTAATTCCAGCTACTCAAGGGGCTGAGGCAGGAGAATTGCTTGAACCTGCGAGGTGGAGGTGGCAGTGAGCTGAGATCGTGTCACTGCACTCCAGCCTAGGTGACAGAGTGAGACTCTGTCCCAAAAAAAAAAAAAAAAAAGTGGTTTGGATTTGGCCAAGTACTCCAATCACTACCAAAATGAACCCTAAACAAAAAAGCAAGAAAGAAGTTACATAGGATTAGTTCTTTTATATTCCCTATACCTTGGAGAAACCTGACAGATTTAAGTTTGAAAACTGGGGTCATAAAATTCTTTATTTTTACTCAGGAAACCGAGTAAAATCTTTTATTTAGGAAATCTAGGAGGAGTGTAACAGAAAAAGCTCCTTTTGTTTCATCAGGGTGCTGGAAGACGTAAGTATTTAAAGCAACACAAAAAGTTTCTGCATTTAAAATAATCAAGTGATTACTTGAATGAAATATTTTGTAGTAAGTGAAAAGAGAAAATTTTCCCTGGTTTTATTTATTACTACATGGTTCTATATAAACAAATTATGATATTATAGGATAACATTGTTTTGAGACAAAAAGAAAAACATTCACATCAGAGGCTGGGTGAGGTGGCTGGCCAGGCACAGTGGCTCAGGCCTGTAATCCCAGCTCTAATGGAGGCTGAGGCAGGTGGATCACTTGAGTTTAGGAGTTCAACAGCGGCCTGGACAACACAGCAAAAGCCCATCTCTACTAAAAATACAAAAATTAGCCAGTGTGGTAGCACGTGCCTGTAGCCCCAGCTACTCAGGAAGTTGAGGCAAATGAATCGCTTGAACCCAGGAGGCAGAGGTTGAAGTAAGCTGAGATAGTGCCACTGTAGCCACTGCACTAAAGCCCAGGTGACAGAGTGAGACTCTGTCTCAAAAAAAAAGAGGCACATCAGAGTGTTATTAAGCTAAAAAATAATTCCTTCCCTCAACAATTCTTTTATAGAAATCCCAAACTGTGGCTAAATGGTTTGGCACAGCTAAATACATGGAACTTAATTCACCAGAAAAATGAAGCTGTTTTAACCTACTGTATGTTTAAATTATGACGGCTAATTTAATTATAACTGTTGAATCCAATTAATACAAAGCAGCATATGAATAAAATTCCAGCAGGTAACCCTCTGAACCTCTATGACTTTATCTGTGCTGTTTTTATGGCACTTAATCACTTGTTATCTTTTATTTGCAGGTAGTGGCATTTTTAGACGTGGGATTTTTGTGTTCATCTTTGCAGCCTCCTATAGTGTTAGCACAATGACTGGACTACTCAGTACATGTTTTCTGAATGAAAGGATGAATGAATAATGTGGAGGGTTAAAGTTGGGAAATAACGGCAGTAAACACTGCATACATACAATGAATATGTATTTGGAGAGCTCTAAATAAACCTAATTACTGCTTTTTTATATCATATCCTATGAGAGAATGTACAGACTTAGATACATCTGTAAATGTCATTTATGTGCACTCTATTTTGCATCCCAGTAATGACCACAACTGTAATAAAGTAATCATCCATGTAGTCATTTCTTAAGTCTGTCTTCTTCACTTTAAATCCTAGAGGGTAAGGGCTGCGTATGGCTTCTGAGAGCTTCAGCGTCTCACAATAGTGGGGGCCCAATAAATACATTTTGAAATAATGAATGCAGTTAGGGCTGCGCCAGTACATAACTTGCAAATGACTGGGCCCTGTTTTAGCTGAGTTTACCAGGCTTCTCACAGCTTCACAGAATCTAACCATTTATTTTTCATTGGTTTTAGGATGCACACTTTTTCACATGCATCTTACAGATGATAGTGTCTTCGTATTATGGATAATTTAAATAAAAGTATTTTTTTCTTTCTGAGTATTACGTAAAATAACAGTCTTAAGAAATGATAGTATTTTCCAATCAATGAAATATGGTTATTGTTAATTTCATTTTAATATGGAAAGACAAAAACTTCAAGTACTCACATCAATTAAATCAGAAAGATCATGAATATAATACTTGAAAACTGAGGCATTGGTGGCTTCAAGTGTTAGGAGATATTCGTTCCGTGCCTTAATTGATTTTAGCTTATTTTCCGAATATTTTGCTTGTCTCTGTAATGAAGAAGATCCAGGCAGTGGGAAAGAACGCAAAGTCATTTTTAATCAAGACAGAGAAACATACATGAATTTTTATTAACCTTAACAATTCATTCCACATATACAAATGACCCTCAAAGTCCTTTGCCAAAAGTACATTTTGAATCTGATTTAAATAGCAAACTAAAATCACCCAGCTATGGGGAATAATAACAATGTATTTGGGCTTCAGGCCCATTTGCAATGAAATCTCCTTGTTAATATTCAAGTTCTCCACACTGTGTATTGAATACTTGGCATTCACCACTAAATGATGTCCAGCTGTTATTACATGATTTTTACATTTCTTAAACATTTCTCATTCCCATGGGAGGAAATGCATGTCATTTCACAATAATTTACAATGTGTGGATATCAGCTATTGCATCAGTGTTCTTAGTATTGTCTCCTCAAATGAAGGCAGAGGAGTTCTGCTATCTCTTTTCACTTACTTTTTCTTTCATTTTTTCAATTTTCTTTACAGAGCTTCGCCGTTGATGTCTCTCCTCTAGTCGAATATGGAAGACTGGATCACCAGATCTTCCAATTTGCTTTTCCTCTTGTTTTTCAGCCTCTTTCAGCTTGCTCTCTGCACTGATGCTCTCTGCATGATACATATGGTATGTTTTCATCACCTGTGGAAAAGTGACCCAAATCGTTACAAGATGTCTGTCTGTAATTGAGAGAGTGAATGGGAACCATTTATAGGACATATACGATATACATGCCACCTTCCAAATGGCAGAGGGGAAAGTCAAACTGTTAGTAAAATAAGTGAATTATGGACTACTGCTTCTACATAAAGCACACAGAAATATGCAAATTCATCTGCCAGGAAAAGGCACTTAGGGGGCAGGATTTGATGAAAAAATGATTTACGGAGTCTTATGCATACTTTTCAATGTACCTGAAAAGTTCTCTTTAGCTTAAAAGTATTTCTGTAAAATCTCCTCTACATTATTAATTTGCAGAATAAAACATCTATTCATGGATCAATTTTAGCCCAACCCAAACCCAAATTCATACAGTCTTTATTAAAGGAATTTTATTGCATAAAATCTATTTGTCAAAGTAAAAAATGGAAATATTAAGGTTCATACATAGTTTTAGTTGAAAAAACATTGTTTTTCTGACCACAAAGTAATACTTTATGTTCATTGTAGAAAACATTTATTTTCTTAAAAAAACAAACAAAAACAAAACAAACAAACAAAAAAATAGGCTGGGCGTACTGGCTCATGTCTGTAATCCTGGCACTTTGGGAGGCCGAGGCAGACAGATCACTTGAGGTCAGGAGTTTGAGACTAGCCTGGCCAACATGGTGAAATCCTGTATCTACTAAAAATACAAAACATTAGCCAACTGTGGTGGCACACCTGTAATCCAGCTACTCGAGAGGCTGAGGCAGGAGAATCGCTTGGAGGTTGGAGTGAGCTGAGATTGTGCCACTGTACTCCAGCCTGGTTGACAAAGTGAGACACCATCTCAAATAATAATAATAATAATAATAATAATAATAATAATAATGAAAATAAAAAGCAATCAAAATCACTGACAAGATTTTAGTATAAAGCCTTCCAGCCTTTTCTCTATGAAAACACACACACACACACACACACACACACACACATTTCTTCCTTTAAAAATGCCATATATGGCTGGCTACTGTAGTGAGGGGATGTCAGTTAAAATTAAGGGCAGGGCATGGTGGCTTCACGCTTGTAATCCCAGCACATTTTGCGAGGCCAAGGTGGGAGGACTGCTTGAGCCTAACTAAGAGTTTGAGACCCGCCCGAGCAACACAGCGGGACCCTGTCTCTACAAAAATAAAAAAATTAGCTGGTCCTGGTGGCGTGCACCTGTAGAGCCAGCTACTTGGGAGGCTGGGGTGAGGGGACTGCTTGAGCCCGGGAGATGGAGGTGGCAGTGAGCTGAGATTGTGCCACTGCACTTCAGCCTGGGTGACAGAGTGAGACCTTGCCTCAAACAAACAAATAAACAAAATAAAATAAAATAAATAAATAAATAAAATAAAATGCCATATATGATTTCTCTCTTCAAAAACTGAGACCATCCTATATTTATAATTTTTAGATTACAATGTCCTTTGTCATTTATATATCAGCACATTTTCCTATATCATTAAATATTCTTCTAAACATAATTTTCAGTGCTACATAGTATTTTTCTATATGACTGTGCCATAACTTAATTTCCCATTGTTAAAAATTTAAGGATATTTCAACTATTTGCTTTATAAAGTTGTGTTAAAAACCTTTGCTGTATATCTAATTTCTTCTCTTAGAAATGATATATGTAATTTGAATTTTAATAAATTTAGGAATATATAGAATATAAAAATTTCATAATGTATTAAAACTTATAGAATGAATCCTCAATTATTACACATTTTGGCTATATTATTGTTACAAAAAACATCTGTGTACAAAATTGTGTCATATTTCTTAGGACAAATTTTTAGAAATAGAATTGCAGGGTTAGAGAATATGCACATTTCTGAGACTTAGTAATATATTGCCAATTTTAAACTCGGCTAATTAAAACAAACTGGTCTATAGTGGTATCTCTGAAAGTATTTCAGACAACATAGGTGCTTAATAAATATTTTCTCAAATAATAAACAAGCTATTCATTATTTTTCTAATAGTATCTATAAGTCTGTATGTAATCTCTGTATTCTTAGGTACAGGAGAATAACAGTCACAGATTTCAGAGTCACAGATTTTACCTGAAAATCATAATTTTTCCAATATAATTTCAATATGCTTTCAGATGTCAGACATCTGGGTGAATTTGAAAACCTGTGTATTTTGAGCACAATTATACTCCTTAAAAGAAACAACACATGTAAGGTGTGATGACTCCAATGCAAAGGATGTGTCGAGGAGCACACCCGAACTCGGCACCCAATGCTAAGCATTTGTGGCAGTACTTTCTTATAAATGATGTCAAATTCTCATCCCCAGAAGACAGACTTCATTTCATATGCAAATAACCACACGTTACTCAGAGCCAATTTTATAACTAAGGTTTAAGAAGTTGAGAATAATGCAATGTTTTCAAGTAATGAATTTGATTTTTCTCATTTCAAGAGATGAGTTTTCAAATGGTTTGAGACCGGAAGCATCACTGGAATAAATATATTTATTTAGGTTGATCCATTTGAAATTGCTGCTTCTGTAAGTTATTAAAAAGGTGGAAAATCAGTACTTTCTTATGGTTCAACTTAACATATGTTCTCTAGATGACTATTTTGAAGAGTAGAACGCGGGGTTAACAAAGAACCTTTACTTATTTTCATAAAATCTGATGATGGCTTTCCTTAAAAATGTAAGCTAGTAAATCAGGTCAAAGGCATTACAGAGCCAGAACAAAGTTAGGGCTAAACTATAAAGCATTGGCAGCTTTTTCTGAGCCATGTGTAATTGGAAAGTTGTCTGTTTTTAATAATTATTGAACCTGTCTGGGAGAAGCTTGGTTGGCTACTCCAGTTTAAAAGAAAAATAAAATAGCAGTAGGAAGCAGCTGAGCAGCTGGGAAATGAAAAGGGAGTCACCCTGCAGCTGGGCAAACAGCAAAAGGTCAACGAATCTACACACACCTTGCATTTCTTTCTAGGCTTGGCTCTGTTATTCCCTGCCTGAAGCAAACCCACACACTATTATATTTGGGTCTTGGTTCCAGTTACATCTTAAAATGACAGGGTGTACACACACACACGCGCGTGCGCGTACATACACACACACACACACACACACACACACACGAGTTGCTCAGCTGTCTGTATTCTTGCTAATAGGAAGGAGGAAATGAGAACATGTGACTCTCATCACACTTGGCCACCCCGAGAATCTGAGAAATATTTCTTTTAAATATATTATCGCAAAGAAAAAACCCGAACTTCTGACTCTTGCTTGACTTGGACACTGAGGACTAGTATAAACAGGTAGTTTGCACAAAATAAGCCTTAGTATAAGAGAAAAGATACTGCGCTGACTGCCAGCAGGGTGTTCCTTATTGACTAGTATGGGTTAAAAGGAAAACATTTCAGTCTGACCTAACGCTGAAAAGAAAAGAGTGTATCTCATCATAATGTGGTTCAGCACAATAGCTGAGGATTCTCTACCTAGTTCAGTGGTAATTTCCGGAAAGCAAATTTCTTTTTTGAGTTTTCCAATTTGATTTAGGGTTTCCACTATTCACTAAAATGTTAACAATGAATGAATTTTAAAAGTTGGGGAGATAAATGCTAAAAGCTTTTCCAGAACTCTAATTGCAGATAATGAATGCGAGTACAAACTGCATTATTTAAAATGTAAGCTGTTGACAGAAGTCAAATGTATTTTGTATTTAAAATAACAGACAGTTCTCTTTCTTTTTCAGAGAAGTAAAGGAAAGCTTTTATTTTTTACAGGTGCATTTTGAATACATACTGCAAAGAAAATAACAGCTTCTCCAACAGCTTAATGCAAACACAAGCCTTTGCATACCAAATGACCTGACAGGCATATAGCCATGTAAATGTACTCCCATAGAATATTTTCCTGTTTGAATTCTTCTCTACTAAAACTTCATGCATAATTCTCCGTTCAATACACCTAATTTATCTTTCTTGCTCCATTTTTCCTCAACGGCTGAAAAAACAGTCAAGTAGAAAATGACCCACATCATGAATTTCCTTAGGAGATTGGGATATCCTATATGATAACGTGCACAGAAATTAATATTTTTTTCTTATTGACACACCCATATTATGTATCTGACACTACTCATATAGTTTAAGTCAAAATAATAAAAATACCTGTAGCAAATTTAATACTTTGTGTTAAGAAATCACTATATATCTGAAAACTGTATGTGTTGGAGAAGATCAATAGATTAATGCTATAGTTTCTATTTTTTGACTACTGGTTCGAAAGTTAGAAGACATGGATCCCAGGAATGGATCTATAATTACTATGTGTGCGGAAATTATTTAATGCCTCTGATTACTTTACAAGGTCATCATGGATGCCAAATTGTGTGTCCCTATGTGTGTGTGTTTTTAAATTTAAATTTTATTGAGTATTTACTATAAATATCTATGTACACAATACATACAGTATCACTAATATAGATATGTACATATATATGTATAATTTACTTTAGCAAGCATTATATAATGCTTACTATGTGCTAGACATAGTATTTTCAACATTTTACAAATAACATATTTAATCCTTCTAGGAACTCTTATGAGGTAGGTACCTTTATTCTTCCGTTTATGCTGATGACAAAACTGAGGCATAGAGAGGTTATGTAACTTGTCCCAGGTCACACAGCTGGTAGAGCAATGGTGGGAACCCAGACAGCCTGGCTTCAGATGAGGTGTTTTGGACTGCTATGCCATAACCTTTGGAAAGTCTAAAGTGTCGTACAATTGAAAGGCCTCTTTATCTAAGGGATACAGTCACTCTTAGTTCTATGTAGGAATGGAGGAAAAGAGGGGATGAAGATATTTATGTATTCAACATGCACTTGGTGCTTACCACCCATAACCCACTGATGGGTGTAAAAAGAAATATTTGGTTTCCATCTTCTAAAAGTTTAAAATTTTGGAGACTAAAAAATGGGC